AAATGAATTACTGCTGCAGAAAGCCGAATTAGAAGCTCACGGTGTGCAAACTTCAGCAAAGCAGCAGTTTTGTAAGCAATGCCAGTAAATCCCTGGCACCTAAGTGGTCCAAACTGGACCCCCAGGGCACACCTCGTGCTGCCGGCTGCGGTCAGGCTGTTTAAATTAATCAGAAGTTGTATTTGCTCCTGATGCCCGAAGTAGCAACACCTCGTGGGGAGGTGCAAGTAAAATTTAGATGAGAACATCTAAAAGCACGTGCCAGCACAGCTTTCAGATGGCTCCATCCTCTCCCCTTTCACCGCTCAAATTTGCTGGGGCTGGTGGTTGTGCGCCGGTTGCTGGAATCGGTTTTGTAATTTTGGATTACATGGTTTGCTTTATTTCTTTTGCAGTTTGAGGTACTGATTCGTACTGCTTATGGAAATAACACGTACTCTTCTCTCCTTAGCTTTCTTGCGGCTTGCCAAAATAACCTTTGTTCTTCTTGTTCGGTTTTGGGGCTTTTTTTAGCATAGCAGACCATCCTGCAGTGCTGGCGGACGAGGAGCTAGGAAGGACCCTGCACGCTTTTCACCCTGGGCGTTTGGTCAGGGCAGCTGCCTCCGGATTTAAGGTTAAACAGATTTGCAGGTAAGTCACCTTTTCGTTGCATTGCGATTAGGCTTTGTTCTAGTGTGCAAAATAAGCGTTTTTAACCTTTGCGGCTCCTACTGTGCCTTGGGTTTCACTGCATAAAAATACTCGAGTTCTATAAAATTGTAATTCTAAAGTCAAGGTTTTAGGGAGGTCAGCAGCAGTCAGAGGCACTAAACCCCAGGGTCTCACGTAACGCAAATCCCGTTCTGTATTTTGTAAGGAGCAGGTGCTTTTGGACACTTAGAGATAATCGTTAGCTTCCGGTCGTATTAAGTTTTCGCGCTTAATACAACTGTCTTGGAAGAGAAAATTGCCGAATTTATCTCGGATCACGAACCTAGATCCTGAACTCTGAATTGTTTCCCTCTCACTCTGCCTACCGTGAGATGGATCAGTGAGAGTTTTGCTTCTTGGCTTTATTTGGCCTTTATTTATCCCATCGGGATTAAGAAGACCGATTTCTGTGGAAGGCTTTTTGCACGAAACCTGCTTGCTTTACAAAATCCAGAAGCGTTCACACAGTTCACACAGTGGTTAGCACTTTCAGAAAGCAAAAGGCTTCCCATTAGTGAAAATATATTGGAAGCAGATGAAAGCGTAACCGCTGTCTTACCATGTACGATGCGTGGATAAGAGATAGCCAAATTATTTAGCTCTTTTAATACTTTCTGTTACTGTGTCGGAGAATTTACTGCGGTGCTTGTGCAGGGATTGCTTTCTGGTGGACATACATCTTGTACCAGCAGAAGAGATCTCTTCCGACACAGGCTGTGTATCACCGTGACAGTGTAAAGCGCGCTGTCAATGAACCGCTTAGTTGCTTGAAATCGCACCCATATCCAGACTTTTGCCGACCTAGAAATATCGATTAGGGAAATCAATTTTTTCACATGCTTGCGGTACAGCAGCGTTGCTAAAACTTTGCACGGAGCCGTTATTTACAGAATCCTTGGCAGTTTTGAGCAAAGTGCCTCCGCAGGCGTGGGGCAGCTGATAGCGGAGGGCAGGAAGCAAGAAATGAAGAACAAGTTGCCAGGTTTTGTTCGGGATCCATTTGCTGGGTGGCTGACGGGACGTCGTTCACACTGATACTTGACCTTGCAGCTTTTTCTTGCTTGCTTGCATCGTGAGGACCTGGGAGGACGAGCTCAGATCCTGTTTCCAGCTACGAGGTATGGCTAAAGGGTTATCAGGGAAAGGAAAAGCTTTGTCCTGACCAAGGCGTTTGGAGGAGAACAAGTCCCTTGCTCGTAAGCAAAGACTGGAGGTAATTCTAAGCGCTTGAAATCTGCCAGATACCCAAAACTGCCTTGATTTTTCTGGCAGAAGGAGAAGCAGAAAGGCTTTTCATCCTCCTTATCTTGGGGCTCAGGAGCTCTTGTGGCTGAGCCGCGTCACCTTCTTCAAAACGAGAGATTACTGAGACTTCTCCTTATGGTTCAGCGCCTCGGCTTGGTGGGACCGCTGCTGAGCCCACCCTTGCGTTACCTTCCTCTCCCTGTCCCCCCTCCAGTCCCTCTGGTTCCAAGTTCAGTGTTATAATGTCCTCTTGGGGGTAAAATCCATGGGAATGTGGTCATTGCTGTAATGCTGCGGTCAGGGCTAAAATGCGTGCGTGGGGTTTAGCTGCCTTTTTTCTGTGCAGCTTTTTTTTGAGCTTTTGTCCGAACTGCCAGTCGGGTTTTGCAAATTCTTGAGCAAAATCTCGCCTGTGTATAAAGATACCTTTCTGAAATATGGTTTGTTTGGTTTTTTTTACTCCACTTGGACAGAAAAACCATCCTTGGATGCATATGGGTAAGAGAGAGAACCGGCAGCGTGTTTTATCACTGGTGGGTATATATTATATGCAACATTGGAGTTACCTGCTAGAGGAGGCCCGCCGACGGCTGCTATCCCAGCAAAGAAGGCAGCAAACCCCAAGTAGCTGTGGAGTTTTTGCACACCCACTAGATCTACCTGTTTGTAGAAACAAAGTGGATAATTATTGATTGAGTTCATGTGAATGCGCAAGCACAGGAGATTTAAAATTTTTTTTTTTTTTTATGGGGAGTTTCCTCTTCAGTTGCAATTTTGAAAGGATTTTGCACCTCCAGGTCTGATCCAGCCTGGAATCCACTCACCTCCTTAAGGCCAGCATGGAAATTGCTGGGATGTGAGATGCTTTTCTGCCTTCCAGCTGGCTTGGGCGTCTCCCAAAACTAGTAACGCGGCTGAGACTTTGAGGAAGGTGTTTTAAGCTCTGAATTTCTTCCCAGAAAGAAATGCCAAATTATACTGACACCTCCCTAGCCGGATCCTGCTGTACCTGGTCTGTGCGTGTTATAGGCGACTCTGGGGTCGGGAGCAGGTATGCACAACCCTCTGCCTTGGCATTAGTCAGATGGGAAATGACCGGATCCATCCCGATTCCTATCAGCGGGAGCCAGGCTCCTTCAGGAAGGAGGATGTGGAAGGTGATTAGCAAAGCCAGGTCATTAAAAATCAGCAATAAGCTCCCAGCGCTTCAGTTGCATCGGGGCTGTGGGTACCAGCGAGTGGGTGGGAGAGGAGATTTGGGGCTCTCCAGTGGCTCAGACTGGGAAGGCTGGAGGGGAGAGCCCTCTCGTGCAGGTCTGCAACAACCAAAATTCAGCTTTTCGAAAGGGTTTTCTGATAATTTCTGGAATACCGTTGGAAATGCCACGTACTACTTTTTTTTTTTTTTTAATCTTACCAGCACAGGGAGGACCAGAGCCATGAACCCACCGCAGAAAACGGCGAAGGCCACCGCGTAGGTCATGAGTAACGGGAAGGTGGTGGCCAGAGGACAGAGCAGGTTCGTGACGCCGCCGAGGACAAGGTAAGCCACGTGGTAGTGGTACTTCTTGGTCCAGTTCTGGTCGGCGACCCAGCCCGCGAGCAGCTGGCTGACCGTCTCCGTGATGCCTGGGGGGAAGAGGAGTTCACCGGAGCCTTGAAGAAGACTTTGTTTTTTCTATTTTTTTTTGCTATTTTGCACTGCGTTGCTCGGAACGCGTCCCAGTCCCACCTGCCGCTCGCTGCGAGAACGCGACCACAAAGGGCTGCAACGCCGGGAAGTTACAATAAGGCGTTTTTAGGCTGTTGTAAAATTTATTCTTTTTTTTTTTTTCACCTTGGTGCCTGCTGTTGCCAAGTGCCTGTGGTCTGTAAAGTGGTCTGTAGCACCAAAGTGATCTGTAAAAATCCCATTAAGGGCTGTGCACTCAGCAGAAAACTCTGAAATGCCCTCAGTAAAAATTAAAAAGGTAAGTTTGCCATTTGATCTCTTTTTCAAGATGGAGAAAAAGCAGAATATTGAGAAGAAATACGCTTACGAGATTTTAATTTTTATAAAGATGCAAAGGAGGACAGAAGGCCAGCATTTTTTTGAAAGGCTCAGAAAACTTTTGATACTTGGTTTTTATAGTTCTCGGTATGTTTTTATGAACTAAGGATCAGAGGAGTGCTCACTGTCAGCTGGTATCTTGCTGACCGCTGTGTCCCTCCGACTCTCAATTCAAAATGTCAGATTAATTCCTGTGCTCTCCTTCTAGATTCTTTGACAGCGTACATAATTTCTAAGTGTTACACAGCAGTGTAGAAGTAAAACTTATTTTTATACAATAAAATATTTTATGATGACTGAGGTTGGAGCCGCTTTCTTAACCCGATGCGATTTTAGTGTTAATGCCTGCTTAAAATCAGGCATGTTGTTATTTTTTCAGGGCTGGGGTTGTGGGCTGCTTTTTTTTTCCCTTGGAGGTGCCAAATCCAAATGGCTAGATCCAAGTTCATCTTGTGTTTGGTTTTCCCCCCCCCCCCCCAATTTCGTTTTTTTTTTTTTTTTTTTTAATTTCTTTTTTTTTCTCTGCACCCATTCCGGGGTCAAACTGGAGGTCTTTGAACGGCGAGTGACTCTGGATTCCCGCGGCTTGTGGGTTTAAGCAAAGCGGAGGCTGCGGTGGGAAGGTTTCAGGAGGACAGATGGCACCTATGTAACGGGAAACGCGCGTGCGTCCGGTGCGGCGAGGACGGGGGATCATCTAGCTGAGGTTGAGAGAACCGCCCACCATGTGAGAGCGACTTCGTACATGCACAGAAGGCGACACTATATATACAGGAGGGGGGTGAGGGCTGGGAGCTAAACCTCTTCCATGAAGATTTATTCTAGGACATATTTGGGACTATTTCTTGGCCAGATTTGTGGTGTTTTTCTTTCCAGTTTTGGTATCATTGTAATTACAAATGGGTTTAAAAGATCCTTTTGCCTACCAGCCACTGAGATGAGGTAAGAGGCATCCATGCTGCTTATGCCCAGCGTCCTGGCTCGTGCTACCAGGTGGAAGATGGGCACGAAGTAGGCCAAGTGGCTGAACAAAAAAGACCACGTGAAAATGCAGAAGATGGGATCCTTCAGTGGGGAGAAGTCAAGGAGAGGCTGCGAATCGTCTTTTTCGGTCAGTGGGAAGGATTTGTAGCTTCTCTTGGCCCCGGGGGCTCTTTCTGGCGAGCAGCTTTCCACGGGGGGTTTCTCAAGCCTTTCCAAAGCCGACGTATTTACCAGACCGGAGTCGCCTCTGCCGTGGGGTGTCGCGGGTCCCTCCGTGGTGGGAAGGTCCTGTGCGCTGTGAAGCCGTATTTCCCTGGGAGTGCTTTCGTCTGCGCATCCATCGAGGGTTTCTGAATCCTTCTTTGCCATCAAAGACCCACAGTCCCGATTTTTAGCGGCGGAGCGTGGAGGCGGCTGGGTGCCGACGGGTCGCAGCAGCATGCTGGAAGGCACGAGGTTTAACATGATGCCTCCGAAAATCAGGAGAGTACCTGAGGGAAGACAGAAAATGCCATTTTCTTGGCGTGGGAAGGGAGGAGCAGTAGGAAATGATCTTTCTAGAACGTGGAGAAAGCTCCGTCATGAGGAGGAGGCATCTTACAGGAGCTTTTATTCCTGTTTTTCTGGCTGGAAGTCCCTTTCGCTGGGATGCACGCAACAAATGCAGAGCTACCTCTGAAATTCGGGAGTTTGTTTTGTTTTCCTTCAGTAGAAGTCCGTTGCATGCGACAGACCTTCAAGATGGCCTGAAACAGTGCAGTGAAAGCGGGGGGTTTTGGTTTGGCTTTGGTTGCTGAGGTCTCTGTTTAGAATCTGGCTTAACTTTAATGACCGATTAAGCGTTTAACCGTTAACAAGGTGTCCCCAGGCTATCCTAGAAGAGGCAGAGTTGTTCCTCGCCCCATCCGATTTTAATTTTTTAAAAAGAGCCTTTTAGCCTGCCCGGCTCTCCTCCGTCGCCCTCGTAACGCTGATGAATTTGGATAAACGGGAGATGCGCTCACCTTGCCAGCCGTAAAAATCAAGGAGAAGTTGAGTGAACGGCGCTATTAGAAACGTCAGCCCCATCCCGGAGCGGGCCATGGCGTTGGAGAAGGCCAGCCGTGTCCCGCAGCGCTTGGCCGTCATCACCGCCGCCGCCTGGTAAAGGCAGGCGAACCCCGTGCCTGTGGGAAGGGGAGAAATAAGACGTCCCTGCCCCAAAAGCGACCGCTCCGTATCGTGAGCTTTAGGGATTCAGAGCCGCGCCATCCCGAGCTCCTTGTCTCCGTAGCAGAGCCGCTCTGCGGGGTTCCCGGGCGGAAAGCGGGGGGATTTTTGCCGTTGCGGGCAGTGGGAGAACGGGAGTTCATGTGTGCTATTTCCTGTCTGGGGTTTTTGAGGCCGTGCACTTCTAGTACGGGATTCTATAAGGCCCCGATTCATGTTGGGTCCAGAAAAAAAGCAAAGCTAGTTGGGTCTAGCATGCTGAAACCGGTATTTTATGCTCCCGAGCGTGAAGGTTTGGGGTTTCTGGCAACGTAGCTGGGCTGGCTTCACCGTTAAAGCGGCTGGCTTCACTGTTAAAGCAACTGCCTGCTTTAACGTGGAAGGAGCTGCTTTCGCCCGTCGTGCGCGGGGAACCCTCCGCCCGGCCGCGGGTCGCGGGCTGCTCACCCAGGAGGAGTCCCATGGAGACGCAGAGGAAGGGGACGCTGGTGGCCTGCGTGCTGAG